ACCTGGTCTAGTGGAAGGTGTCCCTGCCCATGGCAGGGGGGGTGGAACGACATGGTCTTTAAGGTCCCTTTCAATCCAAACTATTCTGTGATTCTATGGTTTGGAGGGGCTGAGAACTGCAAGAGTTGCTTAGGAAAAAGAGAGCTGCGGGGGTAGGCAGAAGGCATGGGAGGGCTTTGGTCTGAGAAGGCTTTACCCAGGTCCCCAGGGTCTGGAGGCACTCAGAAAAACCACGGTGGTTGCTCCTAGTGCTCCAGTGCTGTTCAGCAAGCAGCATCAAGCAGTCTGGTTTTGAGGAGAAACCTAAATGTCTATTTTTTGTTTAGTGAGATTTAATCACCGAGAAGCTGTTGGCTCTTGCCGACGTTTTTACCAGCATCCCGGCGGAGAGCAGTCCCGCTCCTCCGCGGCTCCCTCCCGGCAGCACGCAGCTCCCGTTGCAGCGCTGCTCTTACCCAGCAGCTCTCCGAAGGTTCAGGGCTCTGCTGCTTTTTTTTTTTTTTTGTTATTTTTTTCAGAACTGCCCGACCTGATGTCATTTCCCTCTTGCGAACACCCTGGCTGGGCTGCGTCTGAGATATGTCACGGGGAGTGGGAGGAGGAGGAGGGGGAGCCAGCGAGTGCGTGCAGTGTCCCAGGACCCTGTTTACTTAGCATTCCCAGCTGAGGAAGCCCTGGTTTAAATAGGATCGGAGGAGCGGGCTGCCCACAGCAGATGAGGAAATGGTCACTGTGGGGCTTTAAATTCCTGCCTTCCCATGCGCTGGTGCGGAGGATGAGCCTGCAGAATGCCTTTCCTCCTGGGTCTCAGACAGGTAACCGGCTTTCGGTGCGGTGGGAGCTGCTCGCTCAGGTGGAGGATGTGATGGATCGCTTTTAGTTTTATCGCACCTACCCCCCCTTCCCCCCCTGCCCCCGCCAAGGAAACGATTTCTGAGTTTCCCAAAACGGAACCCTACGAACAGCACTTCCCCACCGGTGGCGTAGGATCGGGGAGCACGGTGGCGTGGGAGACGCTTTTCGTGAGTGAGGAAGGAGCGCGGCTGGGAGCGGGGGAAGAAACCCTCTTGTTGTTGTTGTTGTAGGCTTTGTGGCAGGGTGGCTCTTTGTGTCACGCTCCCGTGTGGCTTCTGTTTGGTTGGGGTTTAGGGTACTTTCCACTAGTCCTCAATATGGAGTTGTCTTCACATTGTTTACAAACATGCCAAACTTGGGACCGTTGTCTTGTGCAGGCAGTATTTTGAGTGTTAAACCGTGGGTTTGGTTGGTTGTTTTTTAAAAGGGAGACATTCTTATAAATCTCACCCCTGACAAAGGTCACCAAACAGAAAACGACAGTGTGCTGTGACCCCCCCCCCGCTTGGGGACTTTTAAATTGTTTTGGGAGAGTTTGAGCTTGAACAAGAAACTTGGGATAATTTAATAGCTGGTAATGTCGAGTGGAATGAGGAACGGTAGCAACTGCCCAGCTGCTCCCCGCTGGAGGAGGTGCCAACTATGTGTTCCTAGGCTCGGGAGAGCAAACCCTTTTTTTGGTCTGGGAGGCACGTCTCTAGCTGTAAACTCTTCCCAGCGCCGCTGAGATCTGTAATCCACAATAAATAGATATTGCATGATATCAGAGTGTGGCTTGCAGTCGCTAATTTAGAATTAAAAATTCAAGATCAGAGCATGGCATATTTTAAACTACCCACTTTCAGTTGTTTAGAAGCAAAGGCAAAAGGACTCTCAGCACGCTGCTGAGTAAACATTGTCTCTCTTTCCTTATCAGTTCAGGTTTTGGTGAAATGCAGCTCTCCCCCCTCCCCACCACCTCCCTCCCTGCTAAAATGAAAACACTTTTACATAAGAAACTACCTCTAGTACAATGACCTTCTGTAACTGAATGCAATACCTGTAATAACAGTTCACTTGTTAGCGCTCAGGGCAGAGAGACTTTCCCTAAAAACCTCGGAACTTAACCAAGGAGGGAAATCCGGGCAGGAAGGCTGGCTTTTGGTAACGCTCAACTCGCAGTGAGACCTGGCTGGCTTAAATGTTGAAATTGCTCAAGTCTCACGGGTGTGTTTTTCTCTAAAGTTCCTATTTCTGAATTAATCTCTTGGTTTTGGGGAGGTGTTTGGGACAACTGAGGTGCTGCATGAAGTGTAAAACCAGAAGGTAGGTGTAATTCGGCTTCATTTGCTCAAGCTGCGAACATCTGGTTATCTCAGCGGGCTGGATGGGACTTTTCTCTGCTTGTAACTTTTCGGCATCAATACGGAGGCATTTACAGGAAGCAGAAAAAAAGGTGTTGCCTCAAGAACACAAGAGCACAGCTCTTGACTATTTTTATCCACCGATGAAGGATATAGTGGGAAAGAGCTGCTTGTGGAGCTGCTTGCACTTTTATTAGGTTTAATCATTCTTAGACTTAAATGCTCTAAATATTTGTGATTTGTACTGCATGCAGGCAGTATTCAGAGATCTCTTCCATTTCTGAAAGAGTGAAATGAAAAAAGGTTGTTAGTGAACATCGCTATTTAATTAAAAGTGGGGGAGGAATTGAGGAACATCTCGTCACGCATCCGCCTCTATTGTCTCTTGTGTTTGCACTCGACTCCAAACACGTCTGGGATGTCCTTTGTTGTTGTTGTTCCGACTCCGTACGAGGGGTGCTGGTCCTCGCAGAGTGGGGTGCCCTCCCCTCAGCTGCGCGACGAGGACAAACTGGACGAGCCTTGACTCCCGGGATGGGTACCCCTTGCTCGCTGCCGCACCGCATGAAACAGCTGGCTCCCCTGGATCTGGCTCCGCTGCTTCTTTGGGACCTGGTGGCACTGCGGCTTGGCAGATGGACTGCCATACGCATGGTAAACATAGGGTTTGGGTGGGGTTTTTTTCCCCAGTTGTTGCAGTGGGGATGATTTTTAAATGCCTAAAAAGCTAGGTCGGCGCTCTCTGACATCAGCGCAACGTGGGTGTTTAAAGCTCCCGTCCCAGGAAACATGGTTGTAGAGGAGCTCAGCTTTCAGTTTTAAGTGAGCATTTCCTCTTCGGGTTGCAGGTGGAAGCTTGAACACATTCATCTAGTTCGCTGTATAAATACAAAAAGGAGGAAAAAAAAGTATAAATGTGGGATTCCTAACCTTTTCAGTTTTAATTTTAACAGCTCAAGGTTTTCAGTGCTGTCAACCGTTTGGTGGTTTAAAGCAACATAACGCAAGACAGCCTCCTCACAGCTGTCACTTCCTGGAATCCTTTATCTTTTCATGCAAAAGGGCTGGGACTACAGCTGGGAAGCTTCTAGCAAGACGTAAAGGACGTAAACACTTTCACGTGGCGCTTACCTTGCGAATGTGCCGTTCTTGGAGTCTGAAAGTGAAACTTGTGATAAACAAAAATGAAAACGGCTCTTACTGAACTATGTCGGTGTCCACAGACTGTGAAAGGACGGTCTTCCTTTAAAGATTGTTGGGGTGTTTCTCCAAGATAAATGGATGCAGCAAACCAATTTGTTCCTCAGATAAAGGTTAGTAAAACCTCCGAGGTTCTGCATCCGCTGGGGGTGAGGATGGCCCTGTTGTGGCTGATTAATCTTGGTGATTTAAATATAATTCTCCTGATGCTGGCGTTAGCGAAGCAATAAAGGTTGCAGATTAGAATTCCCATTTTGGAGTTCATTATTGTTCCTGGGATAGCTCAGAGGCATCGCTCCTCCCCCACTTATTATACTTCAAGTATTTGGATGCTTGCACATAACGCCTTCCCCCCCCACCCCAGCAAAACAGAATTTGTGGTGGGTGTCTTATGAAGAAATGTCCGGGCTTGATTTATTCCCTGGCCTCAGTTGTCTGTCGTAAGGCAGGCTTACAGGAATTTATGCTGTCGTGCTGTCAGGCGCTGGCACCCAAGGTTCCAGTAACTCTCGGCAATTAAAGCCAGTTTCATCTTTACCAAACTGCAGTGGTTTTGTTAAATTGAACTAACCAAAGGCACAGCACTTAGTCAGATGTTGGACTTCTGCTTTTATGTTCCAAAGGACCAACAAGTGTAGTGTTTCTGGAGACGGGAGATGACTTGGAGACTTGCCGGCTCAGCTGGCTGGATGTCAGTCCTGAGCTGCCCTGGGGATGCAGGGTTCCCCGCTGCTTCTGCCTGTCCTTGCTGCAGTCCCACCCAAGATCCTTCTCTGAAAGGGTCTAGTGGTTTCTTTATTTAAGATGAATTTTGGTTAGGAACTGAGGGGGGCAGCTGGCAAACCAGGAATTGCAGGAAACCCTATGGCAAGATTTGGCATTCCAGTGTAAGGTTTTCAGTAGCAATTTCAACCTCCTACTGCTTGAGTCTCTTATCTGACAGAGATGCTCCTCTTCTTTGGTAGCTTGTGTTTGCATCCTCATGAGCTGTGGCTGACGGGCTTGTCTAACCAACCCTGGTGATAGCCTGATATGCGAGTCTGAGTAAAAGCTGTCGTCAGTAGTGGGTATCAAATATTTTTTCCTGTTGGTTGTTTCTAACATACTTAAGATACTGACAGTCATTTCCATTCTTTTACTCTGGGTGCTTAAAGAATATATTCAGTTCAAATACCAATGGCAAGTCACTCAAAATAAGTATTTTTAATACATTTTTTTCTGAAGATTGTGTCACTTGCTTAAATCCACCCTGCTTTGTTGTTAGGGGTGCAGCCGGGTACTGAAAGCAAGGGACTGCTGCCTGCAAGTAATGAGATTAGTGAAATGAGTAGGTCAGGATAACTTCTTATTATCAAATAGATGCTTATTACCAAAGTCCCCTGTGTGAGTTGTGAAACCAGAAGGTCTGAAGTGGTCACAGGTTGAGCCCGAGTCCTGTTAAACCCAGTCGCATCTTGCCCTCCGGCGGATGCCAGCTTGGCTGTCTCCCTTCAGCCTGCTGCTGTGCTTCTCACACTGTCCCACTGTTTGTACGCCTGCTATTCCATTCCTTAGTCACCCCTGTTGTTCCGTTATTAATCCCCATCTCTTCCAGTTCAAACAGTAATTTGCTATGTAGTGCCTTGACAAATGCTGTACCGAAGCATGGAGGGAATAGGAAATGAGAGCAGCTCTAAAAAACTGGCTATCCTGGGAGAGAGGAATGGCATATAACCTGCTGCCAGTAAATGCAAGTCGCATTTCAAAGTGGTTTCCAGGGTCTCTGGGTATTACCAAGGTTAGGATGAATAGATACCCTGGCAGGCTGAATGACACACAGAGGCCATATAAATGCAAGACGCTCATATTTAGCGTAATGGAGGCCGGATTTCTGTGCAAAGAGGAGACAGAGCAAAAAGCTAAAATGGTTATTAGATCTTGGTGATAGCAGGCACTGCTGGTTTTGGTTACCTGGTTAATGCCAGCTGAGGAGTCATCTTTTGTCGGTGGGTCGCTGCCAACTATGCACTTTTGAGCGTGGGCTGTGGTGTTTCTTGCTGCGGTTGCAGATATTAATTTTCAGCTTGGAAGATAGCCACGCTGGTCTGGAATTTGCTCATCTTCATCATTCTCCTTTTTGACATAGCAGGAACATTCCCAGGTTAACTGCCGACTTTTGAGGGTAGAAAAGTGTGAAGTGCCTTGATCCTTTTAATGCAATTCTCATTTCCTTCCATTTCCTATGTTGGCTTCAGGCGCAATAAATCTTAGCAGGTTTATGGGTATTAAACCAACCATTTAGTACTGAAAAGCTTTGCAAAAGTAGGATAAGGAGGTCTCATTCCATCCTGCCTCGCAGCAAGGGGCAGTTCAGGCAACCTAGAGACCTCCATGAATGCCTCCTGTCTTGATCATGCCCCAGATTTTGACCTTTAATTTGTCACGTAGACCTCCAGCACAGATCCAGTACTAAACTGGAAGGTGGAGAAAATAATTGGCTTTTTTCCCTGGCACTGATGTTAACGTTTGCTGTAGCTTCAGATGTGACAACATATGGCACTGCCTTGAGTTCTCTTATACCTACCACTGCTGGGTATTTTAAGGTTTATTTGTAAAAGCTCTTGACAGCAGAAGTGTGTACCGGCAGAGTTGCCAGCATGGTTGTGGGTTTGTCATAAATGCCAAATATCAACAAGAAAAGAAGTAAACCAAAAAATCTTATTTTTATGCAAAGTTGCTTTATAAAGTTTGACAAGTGAAAACTAATCGAAAACTCCACATTTAAAATATGAAGAGACTCTCCAAACGCATCAACGTGAGGCTTTCCCAACTCAACTGGTTTCACAAGAAAGAGCCTGCACCAGATTTAACAAGTGGCCTCTGTTGAACCAGATGGGGAGGGCAAACGGACTCCAGAGCCTTCTCCCGAAAGCTGCCAGCTTTGGAATGTGCGTCAGGGATCTGCAAGTCCAGTGTCTCAGATCTGCGTCAGCTCGTAGGATGATGCCAGGGGTGCACGTGCAACCTAGAGTACGTGCTGCTTTGCAGGGAAAAGCCAATCCCTTGAAATTAGTTGGAAGTCTCCTGGGCTTTGTAGGTGAGAGATAACGGATGGCATGTTCAGGCTTCTCGGTTGCGAAACAGGAAGATTCTGCTCCAGTGGAGTTGAACACTCTTTAAGGGCAGACCCATGTGGATGCTGGTTAGTAATCCTGTCTGGAGGCATCTACAAGCTGAACAAAGGCTGGCAGGGAGGGATGTGCTTGCCTGGACAACAAGAAAACAAGACTGTCCTTCAGGGAAGCCTGCGCTGGAATGTGATAGCCACTGGCTATTGGGGAAGAAAGTGCTTTCAGAGAAAAACCCTCTCCTCCCTTGTTTTCATAAGACTACCTAAAAAAAACCCAACAGAACCTCTTTGTAGTAGTTGATTAAAAGCTCCATGCTGCTAAAAAGGACTTAAAACGCTTGCAGTGGGAAGTGGAAACAAGGGCAGGTCAATAAATGGGAGTGCTCCAACTTTGCTTCTGTGAGATTTTCCCCCCCCCCCCCATGTAATTTTCTTACCCATAAAACTCCTTGTTTCAGTCCTGTGCCTTGTCCACACCTGTTGGTGTGAGAGAGGAATAGTGTGCTTTCATAGCAAAAGCACTTGTGATGCTGTTTCCAGGAGACATTTAGTCTCTAGATAACTGTTTTGCTGATACATCTTAACGAGGTAACGTTTGGGAGCGTATGACTTGGAGAATGAACGGGAGAAGGAAGTAGAAATAATACAACACTGATGGTATGAAAAGTGCAGGCGGGGATTTAATTAGAAATCGAAGGCTGATCGGAGTGCTTGGCGGTGGGCAGAAGGTGCCTAACAAAGACGTCACGGCCTGTACCGGCGGCAGCGCGTAACCTCTTCCTTGGCTTGCAGAACAGCCCAAGGAACTGTACAGTGGCTCAGCTTTTCACAGAAAAGGGTTTTGACCAAAGGAGACATCTGTAACATATCCCAAAAGCATGCTCTGCTTTATTAGGCAAGGATTCCAGCGCACTTTTTCCCAAGTTGTGGTGCCTTTGTGTTTTATCTCTTTCCGTGTGCCGGGTTGAGTAATCTCGCGTTGGAGGTAGCCGTGCTCTCAGCCGGGGTCAGGCCATGTGACCTGCTGGGATCCTTTCCAAACTAAATTATTCCTTGATTCTGTGAAACTGTTTGGAATCCAGGGTGGCAGATTTGGGTCTGATACGCGGCACCGAGTCTGACGGCTCCATGTTCCCAGAAACCCATCGGTGGCAGAGGGCTGCAGAAAGGTTCCAAGAGGACTTTGAGGAGCACGGCTGGTGGCTGGCACCGCAAGGACTGTAAAACCTCGGACTTTCTGAGCTGTGCGAGCGGAAAGCTAATTGAGAGACTCTTCAAAGGTACAAGCACTTAGGTATTAGCAAGAAAGATGGTTTCTCTTGGTCGGTGTGTAAAGAAGCTCGGGACGGTAAGATGTGAATTCTACTTTAGATGGGAAAGCAGGATGCTGCTGGAGACTTGGTCTCCAAAAGCAGGCAGGAGCTACCTGCAGAATGCCAGCCTAGCTGCTGAGGGTCTTCTCTTCCACACGTGCACCCACCCCCTCGTAGAGCTGTTTGCCTTCTGGGCTAACGAGAAGCAACCCTGCACATAAGCGTGTAGTGTTGTGCAGGGGTTGTTTCAGATGTCATGAGGTTGGGAAGAGGGAGTGAAGAAGTTTAAAGGGATAATATGATGAAACTCGCTGAAAGCAGGACTGCTGCTAGTGCTTAAGTGGGAGAAATAGAGTGATGTTGAAGCTGTTACAGCTTGCTGCCGCCAAAAGATACTGATGTGTTCCTTACTGCTACTCTTTGAAGCAGACAGCGTGAAATGGAACAAATTTTTGGGGAGCGAACACAGGTGGTCAAGGACAGATCAGTGTTGTGATGCAGGGCAGTTCCTAAAACAGCACTGTGGGACTCTGTTCTTTCGCCAGCACCATGTGATTCGTTTGCTGGTTCAACAGGTCACATTGATCTTCAGGTGTCACAACCGCAGACCTCAGCCCGTGGCTTTCTGGTTTGTGCATTATCAACAGGATTGCAGTTTTGCAATGGGATCTTAATTTCTCAATTCTGTTGCTGTGAGAGCCAAAATCTATGCTGTTCGTCAGTTGTATTAACTCTGCAAGGCCAACTAAAATGAGGAAAAGTATAAATAAACTAATAAGAACAGATAAGAGATTAGATGTGTCTTGTTTCTACTTCTTTACTGACTAAAATTACAGTTTTTGGAATGAATAGCATGTCTGAAGCAGAAGATGCTGTGCTAGCGCAGTAGTGTCTCCTAGAAGTTGCTGTCAGCTGATGGAATTAGAGTTGGAAGACAGTTCCTTACCCTACAGGAAAAAGTTGTGTCTACTATTGGCAAGCGGTATCTGAAGGCAAGAATATAAAATGTTTGCTGTAGCCACCTGCAGTGAAGCAGTTGGACTGGGCTGTCCAGCAAAATGTTATTTTCCTGGAAGCAGGAGGCAGGTACCCCTCCAGCCTGTGGCCTCTCCAGATGTGTTCCAAGGTGTCGGTGCTGTTTAGCTGTGGAAATCACGGTACCTGTGGAAAGAAGGGGAGTGGTGTATCGTATGCGGAGTGCAGTGTACCGCATGGTCCAGCGTTGGACACGCTCAAAACCCTTTCAGAAGTTGGTGTGACTTCTTGGGAGAAAAATGCAGTGTTGGGTCTCTTTTGTTGAACCTTAAGCCATAGGAGGTGCCGCTCGAAGCTGTAATGCTACTGTGGTACGGGTGCTCAGGTGAGGGACCCGCAGGCCATCTTCCAGTGTAAATTTCCCCACATTTTCTGTGCCTTATAGCGTTGGACACGCTCAAAACCCTTTCAGAAGTTGGTGTGACTTCTTGGGAGAAAAATGCAGTGTTGGGTCTCTTTTGTTGAACCTTAAGCCATAGGAGGTGCCGCTCGAAGCTGTAATGCTACTGTGGTACGGGTGCTCAGGTGAGGGACCCGCAGGCCATCTTCCAGTGTAAATTTCCCCACATTTTCTGTGCCTTATAATACATTTTAAGTGAAAGAAAGTGTAATTTTAGAGGTTGCTACAGATTTGTTTGCAACATCCATGTTGTTTATTTAGATCTGTGTGTTTCTTAAGAACCTGTGTAGTGTCTTCTAACAGGCCTTGGGGTGACCTGGAAGTTAGAGGATGTACAAACCACAAGCTGTAACATGCTTCTGTTTTTCTGTGGTTTGTACTATTTCCCACCTGTGTTTTCAGGCTAGCAGGAAAACGTGGAAATTTGTGAAGCGGTGCATTGTGTGGGGGACTGAGATCTTACACTGTAGTCCTTTTCCATCTTAAGTGTCCTGAGTACCTGCTGGGTGATACAGTACAGCTGATTTGGCTCTGCTCCTGGACTACTTCGCTGTTCCAGGAAAAAGTTTTATAGGAATGCTGATCTTCTATAAAGCACATGGCTAATTGTGAGGGAATCATTTTAGATTGGAATCTTGCAGGAACATACTGTAATTATCATTTAGATCTAAATGAATCCAAGCAGTCTTTTCTCAAATAATAAGGTTCTATTTATGAACGCATTTCCTCCAGTTGGCATTCAGCCCCAGTAACACAGCGATGTTGTGTGAAATGTGGAACAAATGACATTTCTTCCTTAAGAGAGTGCCTGGCTCCCAAAACATGGTAACTTTGAATGGAAAAGGAAGGGAATGATGAGGAAGCGGCGCTGACTAGATGCTAAAGCAGTGTAACTCATGAGCTCGAAGATGCGGGGGTTTCTTCTGAACAGTCCTTTGTTTCTTTGGGGGATCCTTAGCTGTATTTTAACCTCTTTATATATTTTAGAGTTTCCCAAGACTGCAACTTGTGACTTTTACTCAATGCAAGCATTTGAAGATTACATTTACAGAAGATACTGACAAAGCATCTTAAAAGTGTGTCTGTTTAATTTTAGGACAAGGAAACCTGCATGGGTGTCAACAATCAAAGTTACATATGTGAAACGGGCCACTGTTGTGGACAATCCCAGTGTTGCAACTACTACTATGAACTCTGGTGTAAGTCCTTCCGTTTTGTATGGCTTCCCTTCTTAATCTGCATGGCTCTCATACCATACTACAGGTCTGGCTTGTGTCCCCTGGGGTTTTGTATTCAGCCCTTGTTACGCATCGCCGTTGCATTTTGCTGCAGCACGTGTTGGAGTTGACCTGAGACTGCAAGGGCGATAGGGTTGGTACAATGGGCACTGCCTGCTTTTTGAGGAGTAACGGCCACCTTCATGACTGGAGATTTGTTGTTTGGTCTCCTCACTGATTTGGGCAGTCCTGAAGATACTCAAAATCACATGGTGTGCGAGTGAGGAAACCAGGCTTGAAGGAAAAATACCGATAGGCACACCACTAGAGTCTGACGCATTCAAACAGAGAATTAATTCAGTATCTTTCATCTTATTGTTTTAATTCTTTGCAAGAAGGACAGTTTAAATCTGATTTATCTTTCTAAAGCTGTCCTTTCAAGCATGAGGGGCCAGGACGTTTAGTCTCTTCAGGACACACCGTGTTTGGAGCACAGCTCCTTGGGTGGAGGGGTTCTTGGGAAAATCTTGTGGGCTGATGGTGGCTGAGGACTGTGGGCTGCGAGGAACATACGTTGCCCATTGCAACCCCTCTTATCTCCTCTTTCCCCAAATCTGGGCTTTAAAACTAGCCGTGTTTCTAGTGAGTGGTTGAGTGAATATACCCGAGTCCCTTTAGACGGCAGCAGGCAGGTCAAAGCAGGTCAGCAAAATTCTGATAAAATATATGGAAAAATGGGAAGGTGAAAGGATGGAAAAGTGGGAAATGCTGAATCTTAAAGGCAAACTTTTAGAGTAGTGCCAGTCGGATGGTGTCTTCCTTTCTTGAGGAGGAGCGCAGAGGGTGATGATAAACATTGATGTTGCCATGCTGTTGTACTGCTAGGAGCCTAAGCTGCAACAGCTCTGTGCTCCCAGAATTTGGAAATGTGGAACTCCGAACATTGAACCCCCACATTAAGAGACTGGAGATGTTTTCTTACCACACCCAATGGTATCTCATTGCTTTTATGCAACCACTTAAGTGCATCTACTTAATCCTTCTGCTGTGCCCACAGTTTCACTTTCAGAGTAGCCCGTGTGTGGAAACGCATTATGCAGAGAGTGTCACTTAACCTGGATCCAAGGGCAGGAATAGCTGATGCTTCATTCTTTAGTCTAGAAACACGCTTTTACTTTTCAAATCAACCAGTGAAGCATGGAGGACACGGTTGTAAATTAAACAGGACTCTAATAGACTCCTTCAAGACGCACTGTACACCAGGCTGCAGTGGCTGGCTGTGTCGATGCTAGTGGCAGGATTTGAATGTATTGCAGACCTCCTACAGCAGTTCTGCTTTTAAAAGTCTGCAAACAGCTCAAGAAATGATCCAGGACTAGGTGGGCAGCTCCAGGGACCCCTAGCAGAATGAGAAAACGGCGTGAATGCGTGACTGCCTTCGACTCCCTGGTTCAGATCGTAGCATTCGGCAAAACAGGCAGGACAGATGGCTGGAATTTGTTCAGACTATATGGGGATGCATGGACAGAGTGGGGAAGGTCAGACCCGGCTTTGGATTTGTGTGGGTGGGAATGTAGAGGAAGAGGCACGTACGCAAGGGCTTACAGACTTTGTGGCAAGGAGGATCTAAATTGAGCAACAGCATGGAGTACAGCTGCACACTGGAGCTTGCTGCATGGTCACCATGCTTCTCCCATGGACATCTTGGGAGAGGGGCATAATGGAGTTGCACGCAAACAATACGGTCCCAACCATAGCCCCCTGCCACGTTAGTGAAATGATTTTACTTTAACTATGTCTTTGCTCTGTCAGTGTAGCGCAGGCTTCTGTGCTTGGCAGTATCATAAAAGTTCTTGGAAGATAAACCAAAATTTTGTTAGAAAGAAGCAGAATGTTTCAGGCTTTGTCCTAGAGCAAGCACGCAGGTCGTGCCGGGATCGTGGAATAAATGTACTGGTGGCACGCGCTGCTGGATGGTTCCTCATGACGAATGGGTCTCTGTGTTGAGTCTTGCATTCCTGTGTTGCAGAGAGCATCTCATAACCACACTGAAATGAAGGGAATAATGCAAACACGAGACCTATTCTTCTAGGCTCTCTGCAAATTCAAGCAAACATCCAACGTTGATTTAAGATTGGTTAATGCTTTCAAAGCTTGCTTTGCCATTATGGGCATGAGGATGGAGTTTCTGGGATGGGAGGGAGGGTAGGAGGTACGGGGGGGAGCATGTCCTTTAAATGACAACTCACATTCTAGAGCTTGTGACCAGTAGCTGCAGAACTTTGCTGCTCCAGGAACTGTGGAGTATCTTTGGTAGGTACCTGTGGTCAGGCACTTGTAAGGCCTTCAAGGTGAATAGCGGTGATAATCTGTGTAAATAGTCTTAATAGAAGCAGTGAATTGGTGGTGTGCAGAGCAACAGCTTTGCATGCTTGGGAATAGATTAGCTTTTTTAAAGTTAATCATGACATTCGGTTAATTAACAGTTAACTTAGCAGCACCTTTTAAGTATGGCTTCGCTGTCCATCTGTGCTTTGGTGTTGACCAGTGTGTGCATGTACTGAGGCAGCTTTTGAGACGTTTCTGCTCCTCTGGACCTTCTCAGACCACCAGTGCTTTTGTGTGCCTGAAAATAGACCTTCTCGCTAGCCCTGTTGAATTAAATCCTGAATTTATTCACCACCACAGCTTTGTGGGGAGAAGCAGCAGAGGAGGGTGGCACTTGAAATGGACTAGTCTGTCTTTGCTGGACATGCCTTTGGAAATGTGATCCTGTCTTGTGGCCACTTGGAGTTTTTTTCCCGTAAAAAGGATCTTTTTTTTTTCCCCCCATTTAAGAATTTGAGGGAAGTTTGTCTTTGAAAATGGCTGATCTCAGCATTTCTAGGCAGTAAGTAAGGCTGCAGTAATTACAAACCAGTCCTTGAGAGCAGTGGAATAGGATGCAAAATCAAGGTATTATTTTGTTAAGGGGTGGAGTGGAGGAATGGAGAACATGATATGCCAAGCAGGTGGACAGCCTGTGTTTAAAATTAGATAACAGCCCGGTTCAGATTCCCCACCCATCTCTTATTTAAAAAAAAAAAAGTAATAGTGCCATGTTGCCAAATAATAAAACTGTATCCATTTATATATATATATATAGGTCCACTAGCTATATATAGGTCTGATTAATTCTTATCTCAGGGTTAGTAGCTGGTAACAAGGGGGAAAAATGTGCAGTGTGTCTTTTAATTTTCTTGGAATAGAATTGTAAAAGGGAAGAAGGGGCTTCGCTGTTGCATTTCCTCACATAAGGAAAGGTGTGTGGTTGATTGGTTGAGCTGCTTCAACATTTTAGCCTAACAATTTCTCTGGGCTCCCCAGAGAGCTAACGTTTCCCGCGGGGGAGGTTGTGGGCTTGGGGGAACGGCAGCAGCCGCTGGATCTCGCTTGCTGTCGAGTTTTTTCAGGTCTGTTACGATGAGATTGTGATTTGCTGGAGTTTTCCAATGTTGGCCTTTGTCCAGGCCTCACAGGTGTCTTATTGCTTAACTGTTCCAAAATACCCCTTCTCAAAATACAGGCGAGAAGGTAATTGATGAATGCAGTTCCCACATTTTGCAGGTTAAGAATGAAGGCTCAGATGTTCTGGATTTTCCCAAGGTTAAGTGTGTAATGTGGACTGAAATCCAGACCTCCTGACATCCATCCTTGTGTCTCCCCTTGCCTGTTGAGGACCAGCACGAAATAGACGGTGGCAGAGGCTCTGAACATGGCAAGCAAAGCTGTAGAAAATATTTTGCATGGTGTGGTTGGAGGAATACTACTTTATGCTTCAGGAGTCGTGGAGCATGGAAACAGGCAGCTGGTCACTGCATACGGATCATCTCGGTTGTAGAATTTCCAGGTTAGAGGGCTTAGCTGGTCTTGGGTCATTTAGGTACTGTACAACAAACCAGCACTGACGATGAGTGAGTATTCGGATGTTGGATGTGCCTGTTTTGCTTCATTTTGGCTCCTTTAGCAGTGATACTCAGCCCCTCTGTTTCTGAAATTAAAACAACTTAAAAAAAATAGATCTTGACTGTTTGGGCCCTACTGGAAGGGTTGCACAGGAAAAAAATGTTCTGTTTGCAGGCAGCACGGTTGATGGCTTTACTGATTTTGAACATTTTGCTCATCTCTGCACGCTTCCCCTTGGAATCTCTAGACAGTTCTTTTCCCCAAAAAGCATGCTGCCAGAAAATGTTGGCAAGGATCCGGTTAGTTGCTAAAACTAAAGCAACTGCTGTACCACGTCCATGTTCCAGGTCAGCTTTGTAATGGGAATTCATTTCCAAGACTTTGCTGCAGTCTCCAAAACCCCCGCTCAAACAATGCATCAGTCCCGTGTTTTCTTCCTCGCCCCGTGTTGCCTTATCTTTCAGTCTAACCACATCCTTTTCCAGAGCGGGATTTGCCCTCTTCCTTGCCTTTCACCCAGCATCCTCTGTGGTTGTACGTGCTTTCTCTTCCCTAGGTGTATCAAACTTCTCCTTTGGCTGCTGTTCCTCCTCGGCTGGTGCTGCAGCGATAACCCTGTCACGACAAAGCCTGGCTTCCAAGTCCAGGGCAAACAAGTCAGATGTCACAACCTTGCGGAAACTAGTGATAAATAGGGTCACCGAGGGAGTTACTTCTGATTTCGTTGTGCTTTTTGTAGCCTGACAACAAAACCATTGAAGTTTATTTTGGTGTGGCTGGGTAGAATTCACAGATCCAGAGGAGAAGGCAGGCTGTCATGCGTGGCCTGACTGCAGACTCTGACGCGTGCCCCGCATCTGCCTGCCCTGTGTTAAACAGCGAGGGAAGGGGAGAGAGCTTGCTGCTGCTGTTTTACCCCCACCTTCTGCACCGCCAGCCCACTTCCTCACCACGTACCTGGACCTGTCAGTGCAGTCTGTTCTCCAGATCTTGTTCCCAGATGTTCTGGACATGGTTTCAGCCGGATGTTCCCCTCT